ACCCTAAAATTATAAGGGTTATTTTAAATACTAGAAAATGATTATCATTTGAGATCTGTTTTATTTGAAAAGATGATTTAATAAAGTGTCTAGCCTGTTCTAAGTATCTATATGAAGCAGAATTACATGGAAGAATTAGATAGCATTGTAGAGGGTTAATGTCTTTGGTCATATGTACTTTTAAGTGGCATTAGCCTGCTAAATGCAGTATTTGAATAAAAGCCACCTTCGTCTGCCCAGTGTAATAGGATCGAAAACTGAGAATAGATTTTAAAACTGCAGTCTAAAAGGGGTAATTCAGTAATTCAGTGACAATACTGGGGATTCATGCAAGTTTAGCATCCACATATGAGCCATCCACCTATAGGCTGGGTGACATCACAGTTCAACCTACATATTAGCTAATGATCTACTGATTTCAAGCAGTATAATAAAAATATCTATGAGGACAGTTTTCTTTGACTACAAAAACAATTGGGTTGTTATTTGTACTGCGATTAATGGGATTTGATTTGTTATGCTGGCTCTTGAAGAGCTTGCTTTATGTCACTGATTAACTGCAAAGGCTCTAGCATCTATATGTAAGTCACAAGATAGATACATTAGATATAACCCATACAATGAGCAAATAGCCCATGTTTAAGGTATAATTTGATGAATATGATAAGCAAATGAAATAGTGTAGATTTTAGAAATTCAAGAATTGGTGCAGACTTAATATTCATATAGATTCTTTAGAAGAAGGGCCAACCACAAAGCTCAGCAGATTAAAGCACCTACAGGCAGGCGCAGGGGTAGGGGGTTCAATCCCTGGGCCTGCTGTGCCGGCTCCATCTCCAGGGTGCACGGAGATGGGGATTGAGACTGGACATGGTGGCACGCACCTGTAATCCTAGCTCTTGGGAGGCTGTAAACAGGAGAATCACTACAAGTCCAATCTAGTATTGAGATCCTGAACACCCTGTAGACCCTTCCCTAAAATACAAACAAAAAAAAAAAAAAAAAAAAAAAAAAAAAAGAAGAAGAGTTAAATCCCAGAGGTTCTTTAGAAGAAAAGATGAAGCTGTGCAGCACTCAGGAGGTGGAGGCAGGAGAATCTGAGAGTTCAAAGTCAGCCTGAACTATATAGGGAAACCCCGTCTCAAAAAAAAAAAAAAAAAGATGTTTGAACTAGGAAGAATTTTTACTTGAGGATAGGATTTTTTGGCCAAAGCTAAGGAATGAATAAAGCCATGAATTATTACAAAAGAATTATTGCCCTGAGACTAATGATTAAGTGGATTTGCACACATGAGAATGGGAAAGTAGGCCAGAACTAGTTTGTTGACTACTTTTTCCTAAAGACATGCAATGGTTGTTTCCAGTGGCCCGGAAAGTTTAGATTGATTTGGGTAAATGCCAGTTCATGCTTTCAGAAGATTAAAATTTCATGGCAACATATAGGATAAAGCAAAGATTCAAGGCAGGGAGACTTCAGGGCCTACTGCATCAAAATAATTGAGACAAGCATAAAATAAAGAGGGTTTATACTAATGTGAGATCAGAATAAGAACAGGACTCATAATAAGGAACAGATTTAAAGTATTTGCTAGTTGATGTAGGGGAGTGAATGAAGAGGGGGTGAGATTGACTCAACAACTATTAACTTTCCACTCTGTAGAAAGTACTGCCTTCCATTGTGTACCACTGATGAGACGGTATTATACATTTGAATAGTTACATATCTATTAGTGTACATAAGAAAAAGATGGAATTAGCAAATCAAACATGCTTTCATATACATTATTATTATTTGGAATAACACTAAGTTTTAAAAAGTAAATTTATTTTTTTTCAGTCAGTTTTATTTATTTATTTTTAGGTATAAG